TGTATGTGTGTTTGTATGTATGTATGCATGTAGGCAGGTATGTATGTATGTAGGCCTGCCTGTCGGTATGTGTGCGTGTATGTAAGTGTGTATGTATGTATCGGTTCGCATGTGCGAGTGCGTGTGTGCGTGTGTGTGGAAAAATCTTTACGTACACGTCGATATATAGGTACAGGTGTCGGTGCATGTGTCTATTGGCATGCACATGGTATACAGTGTCCATGTACACATGTGTGTATATAGGTATATGCGTGGGTGGAACCCCGCTCGGTGTGCACTTTTCTTGGCGCGCGGTCGCTATTTGCGAGACGGCGCCATCCAGCCGCCCAGCCGGCCCAGCCGGCCCAAGCGGGTGCCCAGGCTGCGCTGCGGCCAGTGCTCGAGCGGACGAGGTGGGGTGGGGTGCGGGAAGCGGGGGAGGAAGAGCAGAATGGGAGAAGGGAGGGGAAAGAAAACGACGAATAAGAAAAACCACGATAATTGGGGGAAGGGGGAGGGAATCGGAAAGAAGATGGACGACGAGGAGCAATACAAGAAAGAGGGGATCTGAAGGCATGGACGATTGGCTGGTGCGATAAGGGAACACCTGTCTCAGTTGTCTCACAGGCATGTGTTCTGTTTGGTCGTTTTGTTCTGCTGTTCCAATGGAACATGCACAAGGCTGTTGAGAGTGACGCTTCAGAAGGTCCTGATGAGAGGAGGAAAGAAGGAGGGGAAAGGGAGGAGGAGGAGGAAAAGGAGGAGGGGGAGGAGGAGCAGGAGGAGGAGGAGGAGGAGGAGGAAGAGGAGGAGGAAGAGGAAGAGACGGAGGAGGAGGGAAAGATAGAGGCGGAGGAGGCAGAGCAGGAGGAAGAGGAAGGCGGAGGGGGAACAATAAGAAGAGGATAACGAAAAACAGGGGGGGGGGGAAGGAAACGGGACGGGGAAGAACATGTGTTTCCCCAAACATACATACATACATACATACATACATACATACGTACGTACATACATACATACATACATACATACATACATACATACATACATACATATATATGTATATATATGTATACATGAAGCACCACATGTGTACATGACGCACCACAAGTGGATAGGCCAAGCCTTTTTGTGCTCCTCTTCCCCTTTTCAGCCGCCGCTGGCCCCCGCCCGGAGGGCGCCGACGCCGCTGGCGGCGGAGGGGCGGCGCGCGGCGGCGCGCGGCGACGGCAGAAGCCCCAGCGTCGGACAGGCGTCCAGGACGGCGGCCGGCGGGGGGCACGGGCGGTGTGCGCGACCTCGCGCAGAGGTCGCGCCCGAGGCGTCGCAGGCCGAATCGCCCCCTCCAATCTCCACGCCGCAGGGCAGAGGAGCTCCGAGACGGGCGGGCAGCAGCCGAAGCAGCCGCGTCTTCGCGCAAGCGGTCTGGGTGCGGGGCGCGCCGATGCCGAGGTGAGCAGCAGCTGGATCGGCCACTGCCTGCCGCAGCTGCATCAGCCACGTGGGGCGGATGCTCTACTGCGGATCGATATCCGCAGCTGCCTCAGCCACCCGGGGGCTGCACTTCTTCGTCGTGTCGTCGTCAATCCCCTGCTGGAGCCTGCTCGGCGACACACGGGACGCGAGCACGCGCGAGGGGACACCATCGCGATTGGCGCGGTTGGCCTCGGAACCGCAGCTGAATCACGCACGCTGTCCTGGCGATCTCCGAACCCAAAACGCCCGACGAATTGGTTCGCCTTAAGTCGGGCCTGTCCCCCTACAGGGGGATTTTCGACGAAAATTTAAAAATACCCAAAAAAAAAATCAAATAATAATCCCCAAATAGTCTGGGGACAATTGTTTGAATATTGTTTGACCTCTTCGGGTTATTATTGGGGTATCTTATGTGTTTAACCTGAACTCCTCGACCTCCGCTTCCCCCGACGCGATCGAACACCGCTGCCCCCGACCGGCAGGCGGCGAGCAGGGGCGCGAGGGCGCGCGCACGCGCCCGGCGGGCCCTCGCGTGTGGGACCACGATTGCAAGAACTTGAAGCGCTGGCCTCTTGCCAGAACCTCGGGTTCTGGCAGTCGTGGATCCCAAGCGTGAGACCAGAGCTTCGAATTCTGGCCCTCGCGGGCCCAAGTACATGCCCGAGAGGCCTCCCGCGAGATTCCTACGAGCATCCAGTAGGCTTCTTACCGCCAACCCAGGCACAGCGGCGGTTTGGCCCGAAGGCCATTAGACAGCCAATGACGCGGACAGAAATCAATCTGGACGACCTCTAGGCACTGTGTCTGGACCCACTGGAAAACACTGCCCCACTGGGCCAGACCAGCCGCGCCTGCGCGAGCACGGCCACCAGCGGGGCCGATGGCAGCCTGGAAACGAATGCCATCCCGCAGCGCGCGCGCGCGCTCATCTGCACCCGAGGAAAAGCATCGCGCCGAACGCGATCCCCAGCAGAAGAGCGCATCCCCGTTCGCAACCTAGGCTGCTGCGCACCCCTGAGCGGCTGCCGGCCGAGACGTGGCACTGCAACGGGGGGGGGCTGCAGCAACGCTCGCCTGGCCAATGCCCGCCGTCGCTCGGCAGTCGCGCGCGCCGAAAAGGAGGCCGCGGACCCCTGGCCCCGCAGCTCATGCAGAGGCTGGGCGGCCGCGGCCTGGCAAAATATCATTCGCGCGGTGCTGGTCACTGGTGTGATTGGCCACCGCGCGGCGGGCGCGATTGGCAGCGTGGGCGCCACCGCGCCCGCGTTGGACCAGCGCGCCGTACCTGTAGGACTCCTCAAATGCGGGGCCCGCTTCTGCGGCCTCCCGACGTAGATTTGGAAGCTCGCCAACAGCGCCGGCTCGTGAGCCCTCCTCCTCCTCCTCCTCCTCCTCCTCCTCTGTTCCGTCTCCGGTCATGCCCAGGTCGTGCTGCTGCCTGGCCAGTTGGGAACCGCCCTGCACGGGCCGGGGCCGGCTGCGAACCTGCCCACGGGCCTCGGACAGCGCGTGCATGGACTGCTCGCGCCAGGCGAACTCGGCGAGGCCCTGGGCCGCGCGCCCCAGGACAGCAAGTTGGACAGGCGCCGCGGCGCCAGCGCCAGCGCCGCCACCGTCGCCAGGCCCAGCCGTCCCTGGGGCCCCCGCCGCCGCTGGATCAGGCCCGCGGCCAGCGTGGGCCGCAGGCGCACGGGCGCCCGCTGGGGCGCAATCGCCGCCTTCGGGGCCAAGCGGAGCAGCTGGGGCTTCGGCCGCGGCCTCTCTGACGACGCCCTGGTCCTCTGCGAGCCGAAGACTTCAAACACGGCGTAAGTATGCAGGGTGCTGGCTCGGAATTTAGCAGGCTATCCCCAGCGACGGCCGTGAGCAACGCAGCCGTCTTTTCCTCCAGGAGCTGTGAGTCCTGGGCATGGAAAGGCTTAGCCTTCGTGGGGCACTCCTTGTTCTTGACCACCGACGGCACCTTGTGCTCGACGTCGCCACGGGCGATTCGCTCAACACTCGACGCCAGCTCGACCGCCTGCGACCGGGCGGTGAGCTTGCCCGCCATCTGCGAACCCACAGCATTATCAGAGGCAGGCTGTCGTGGTTTAAATGTGCGTGAGTGTGTGTTGTGCTGTGTTGTGCTGTGTTGTGCTGTGTTGTTTTGTGTTGTGTTGTGTTGTGTTGTGGTGCGGTGTGGTGTGGTGTGTTGTATTGTGATGTGTGTGCGTGTGAGAAAAAACTTCCCCTTTGCCTGCATCGCGTCCAGCTCCGCCACCATACTCGGAAACTGCCTGGCCAGCGCCGACGGGTGAGAGACGAAACCTTCGACTGCGGGTTGGTCACCACGCTCGAAGCCGGCACGCTGCTGATCGAGGTGGGCGCCGCCGCGTTGGTTGCAGCTGACTCGTCATCACTCCAGACCCGGGTCAGTCAGGCCTTGCAGAATCCTGCAGGACCCTGCACCCAAGCCCGGGTCAGTGCGAAGGATCCTGCAGGATCCTGCACCTAAGCCCAGGTGATTGCGACCCTAGCCCTTCAGGATCATGCAAGATCCGGCGCTCTGGCTGCCCCCCGTTGGCATTGACCCCCGTCTCAAGGCTCCCGATCCACATCGAGCGTACTCCCGCTGGCCGCACTCGCCGCACACGCTGCAAGCCGAGCGTGCGCGGCCTCGTCGCTGGCGACGAGCATCAGCACGAACACGTGCGCAGAGCCTCGGCACGCATGCGGCCGCCTGCGCCCCAGACATTCTCAAGCTTCACTACACCGACCTTGCAGACGTGCTGCAGCGGATTTCTGAGTGGATTCCTCTCAGCGTTCAACCCCGAAACGGCGAGCGAAAACGACGTGAATGTCGTGTGGATTGTTCTCAGTCTTCAAACCTGGCCAAAAACACACGAAATTCACCTCGAGATCCGGCACGAAATTCTCCAGGACACTCCGGGCCCGTCTTAGTTGTTTCCGAACGAATGCCGCTCTGCGATGTTGGCGCCATGACGCCCGCGCACAAGACATTCCCAAGCTCGGTGCGCCACGGCGCGCGGACCTTCCACGTCGTCGACTCGAGACTGTGCGTGCTCCAGGAGGAACTCACAAGCACTCCCGGCCACGGGCTGGCGCGCACACCTTTGCGGCGGTTGCAACAAAAGGCGAAAGCTAGCCGCAAATCGGCAGTGCACGCTGGGTCCACAGGGAAACCACAAGTTTTGAACCAAATGGTCACGGTCACACGGATGAGGCGAAAGGGGGAGGAGAATGAGGACAACGATCAGAAAGAAGGAGAGGACATGACATGCCGAATGCTTAGGGGCCTCCTGGACTTGTTCAGAGCGTCCAATCGACGATGGCCTTGGATGGCACCTAACTGGAGCCATACAAGCCAAATTTGATCCACTCTTAATTTGCCCTCCGCCTGTTTCCCGCTATTTCCCTCGCCGCGTCAACAGTCCCTGGAATGCTCCAGGGGCACTCCGTGTGGGAAGACAAGGGAATAAGGGATTGAGGCTCGAGGAAAAGGGAAACGAAGAGAAGGAACAGGATATTGAAAGAAAAGAAGGAAAGGGCAAGGGGATGAGAAGAAGGGGATAGAGAGGACGAGGAAGGCCGCAATTAAGGAGGCGAGACGACCAGGATCAGACCTTACGCCGTCGATGAGGAAAACCAGAGTTCAGCAGGCGAGACGGCCACGACTAGTCCTTACATTGCGGGCGCGGCCGCAAGAAACCCTCGCAAGAAACACAACCCTGAAAACCCGCTCGCGAGGTGCACCTGAGCGGAAACGCAGAGCACCCTGAACGCAGCAGCCTCTTCCACGGCTGCGGGAAGTCACCGCCCAGCTCAGGATGGCCTGACGGAAAGCACATGGTCGCTTGATGCGCGCTCCCACTGTACGTCACGACTCAAGGTGACCGATGAAGTCCGCCCACTTGTAGCTATCCGCCTCCAAAAGCCTCCTTGACGGGGTCCGAGTAGATGGGGTCGGAAGATTGCACCGCATCGCGGATGTTTCGCCGATGCACCGGCAATGCATCGGCGTCGCCAGCATGGACAAAATCGGGCTCCGCATCAAGCCGCACCGCCGACGAGGCGCCATTCCCCGACCCCGTCTACTCCGACCACTTCTGGGAGGCCTGGACATTGAGGTGACCGATGAAGTCCGCTCACTCGTAGCTGTCCGCCTCGGAGGACGCCAGATGTCCACTTTTGGTGGCGCGCAGAGTGGGGCAGGGGGAGGGGGGAAGGCTTCTTAGAAGCATCCCTGCTTCTTAGAGGGCGTGGGCCTTCTCTGTAGATGTAAGGCCGGCGCTTTCTATCGGAAACCGAAAAATGGCACAAACAGAAAAATTCGGAGGTCCGCGCGGATTTCTCCGATCGGCGCTGACCCCCTCCCTGGCGCGCGGCGCCAGGGGCGGCGCTGGAGGCGCCGCCAGGCGGCCCCAGCGCGGATCCGAGAAACCCGCGCGGACCTCAGCGTTTTTATGTTTGTGTCATTGCTCGTTCCCCTATTCTAAGAAGCAGCCTCAATCTAAGAAGCCTTCCCCACACCCCCTGCCCGTAGGTCGGGCATCTCTCCCTACAGGTGGATTTTGGACGGAAAATACAGACTAGCCACAACAATGCTTCAAACTATTCAAACAATACTTAAACGAATCGTCCCACAGCTATCTTTTAAAACTATTTTTTAATATTCCTCCTGTAGAAGACAGGCCCGACTTTACCCCCTCACCCTGCCCTTCACGGTCTCCCCCGGGGCCGTAGGCGACTGGAGGAGGATGAGGAGGAGGAGGAGGAGTCTCGTCTCGAACCCATTCAAGCAACAATCCATGCCTTGGTCGTATCTGCTCTGGGTTGGAGGAGGAGGAGGAGGAGGAGGAGGAGGAGGAGGGGGAGAAGGTGGAGGAGGAGATGAAGAAGGAGGGGGAGAGGAGGGGGAGGAGGAGATGAAGAAGGAGGAGGAGGAGGAGGGGGAGAAGGTGGAGGAGGGGGAGGGGGAGGAGGAGATGAAGAAGGAGGAGAAGGAAGAGGAGGAGGAGGAGGAGGAGGGGGAGGAGGAGATGAAGAAGGAGGAGGAGGGAAGAGGAGGAGGAGGAGGAGGAGGAGGGGAAGGAGGAGATGAAGAAGGAGGAGGAGGAGGAGGAAGAGGAGGAGGAGGAGGAGGAGGAGGAGGAGGAGGAGGGGGAGGACGGGTCGCCTGAGCTCTTCGGAGAAACCCTCCACCCTGCCCCCGTCTGCGCGCCGCCCACCCTTGCGGTGCGGCGACCCGGGCCGCAGGGCTCGCCCCCGGAGGCCTTCCGAGGCCAAGAGGGCCACCGCCGGCCGCTCGCGGCCCCCGCAGGGGGGGGGGCTCGTCGTCGTCGTCGTCGTCAACGTCGTCGTCTTCGTCGTCGTCGCTCGTCGTCGTCGTCGTCGCTCGTCGCCGTCGTCGTCGTCGTCCCTCGCCGTCGCCGTCGTCGTCGTCGTCGTCGTGGAAGCTCGTGGTCTTCGTCGTCGCCGTCGCTCGTCGTCGTCGCTCGTCGTCGTCGTCGTCGCTCGTTGTCGTCGTCGTCGTCGCTCGTAGTCGTCGTCGGCCAGCCTTCGCCGAGGCCCGAGGGCCTCGCGTGGCCCTCCGGAGGCCCTCTCCCCAGGGCCCCTAGAGGCCCCAAACCCCCTGGGAAGCCTCGAGAGGCCCAACACGGGCCGAAAGCATGCGACGCATCGCATGATGCAGTTCGACATGTATGTGTATATCTATATATATATATACACACTAGAAACATCGCGCGCTTCGCGCGCGCTCAGGTTCTAGCAGGCCCCAGGCCTTGACGAATTCACTGCTCCACTGAAGTAGTGGACCACAGCACACGCATTCCAATCTGCATTCCGAAATGGCCTTCGAGGAAGATGGTTGTGTAGAGGGGCGGAGGCCGTATAAATCGGGTTCCCAGAAGGCCTTCTTGGAGCATGGGTTTGGGGGCGTCTTGGGCAGCTAGTTGGTGCGTGCCGTCGTCGTCGTAATGTCGTCGTCGTCGTTGTCGTCGTCGCTTCGTCGTTTCGTCGTCGTCATCGTCGATGCAAGAGGGCACTTGGGGCAACTTTGCGCGAAACGATCTGCGGAGGGCCGCGAGAAGGCGATCAGTCATGTTCCCAATCTACTTCCCAGACAACTCTCCTGTAGCATGATGGTACTTCGAAGCCTGCGGAGACTCGCGAGCCCATGATGAACCATGTCCCCGGAAGGCCTTCTGGGGACATGGTTTGTTGGGGTGTGTTGGGGGGTCTCTTGGGCGTTCCCTGGGGACCCCTTGGGGGCCTCCTGGAACTCTTCGGCCCATGATGAACCATGTGCCCGGAAGGTTTTCTGGGGATATGATTTCTTGGGGTGTGCCGGGGGGCCTCTTGGGCGTTCCCTGGGAGCCCCTTGGGGGTCTCTTCGGGCTTCCCGGGGGCCTCTTGGGCGCCTCACGGGGCTTCGTGGGAGCCTCCTGGTGGCCTCCGGGGGCTTACAGGCGGCCCAGGGCCAGAGACCTTGAAACATCGCTTGGCTGTCCCCCTCTGGGCCCTCTCTTGGGGAGCTCTTGGGGCACAGCTGGATTGTCTGGGGAGCCTCCTGGGGGCATCGATGAAGGGAACAGGCAGCGGCCCGCCCACCTCCCCCGGGCCTACTCGAGATAGAGAATCATGTTCCCGGGAAGCTCTCTGGGAGCATAAGATTTATTCGGCTCTCTCAAGAGGAGGGCCTCTCGGAGCTTACCGAGGGGCGCCTTTGGGCCTTGTCGGCAAGCCTATTGGAAACACGGTTGGGGCGGTGGGCGGAAGAATCATGTTCCCGGGAAGCTATCTGGGAAATCTGATTTACCGAAGTGTCTTGGGGGCCCACAGGGGGCTTCCCTGGGGGCCCCTTGGGAGCCTATTGGGGCTTCGGGGGGGCCTCTTGGGAGCCTCACTGGGCTTCTTGGGAGCCTCTTGATGGCCTCCGGGGGCGTCCTAGGAGCCTCTCAGGCCGGAGACCTTGAAATGTCGCGCTCTTCGGGCCCTCTTGGGTCGCTCTTGGGGCTCTCTTGGGGCGCTCTCGAGGCCATCTTGACTTATCTGGGGAGCCTCCTGGGCCATCTCTGGGCTTTCTTGGGAGCCTCTTCGGCCGTCTTGGAGCGATCTGAAGGGCCTCTGACGCGGTCCCGGACCGTGGGGAGGTGGAACATGGGAGAGCGCAAAAATTCTTCAAACACCATTGGAAAATTTATAATTTTCGGATTCGGGGCGTTTTGGCGGCGTCGTCGGCCGTCCTGAGGTCATCTTCGGCATGCCCGGGGCCTCTGGGGGCTGTCTTTGGGCGTCCTGGGAACCCTGAAATCATGTTCCCAGAGAGGCTTCCAAGAACATGATTTCGAACGGGGCCCTCTTGGGCCTTCCTGAGGCCGTCTTGGGGGCCTCCTGGGCCGGCTTCGGGGCCGGACGACCCTTTTGGGCCGTCTTGAGCCCTCTTGGGGCTATCTTGGGGCTCCTCGGGGGCGTCTGGGGCACTGCGAAGACGAAGCAAGAGCGTATGCTGAAAATCTACGTTTTACACAGGGAATGGGCCGATTTGTGCCTCTTGAAAGTCCTCGTGGCGCCCTCTTCGGCCATCTTCAAGCCATCTCGGGCCCTCTAGGGCCTCGCTGAGGCTGTCTTGTGGGCCTCTTGGGCGTCCTGGGAACCCAGAAATCATGTTCCCGGAAAGGCTTCCGGGAACATGATTTCGAACGGGGCCCTCTTGGGCCTCCCTGAAGTCGTCTTGGAGGCCTCCTGGGCCGGCTTCGGGGCCTCTTGGGCCGTCTTGGGGGGTTCCGTCAGCCCCACAGGCCGACCCTTTTAGGCCGTCTTGGGCCCTCTTGGGTCTCTCTTGGGCTGTGTTGGGGCTTCGCGGGAGCGTCTGGGGCACTGTGAAGACGAAGCCAGCGAGTATGTTGAAATTGTATGTTTCACAGAAAGGAAATGGGCCGATTTGTGCCTCTTGAAGGCCCTCTTGGGGCCCTCTTCGGCCATCTTCAAGCGATCTCGGGCCCTCTGGGGCCTCGCTGAGACTGTCCTGGGGCTCAGTAAGGGGGCCCTGGGAACCCAGAAGTAATGTTCCCGGAGAGGCTTCCAAGAACATGATTTCGAACGGGGCCCTCTTGGGCCTCCCTGAGGCCGTCTTGGGGGCCTCCTGGGCCGGCTTCGGGGCCTCTTGGGCAGTCTTGGGGGGGTCCGTCAGCCCCACAGGCCGACCCTTGTAGGCCGTCTTGGGCCCTCTTGGGTCTCTCTTGGGCTGTGTTGGGGCTCCGCGGGAGCGTCTCGGGCACTGTGAAGACGAAGCCAGCGAGTATGCCGAAAATGACAAGTGTACCATGGAAATGGGCCGATGTTTGCCTCTTGAAGGCCCTCTTGGGGCCCTCACGGGCCCTCTTGGGGCGCTCTTGGCCGTCTTCGGGGCTTCTTCAGGCTTTCGTGACCATCTGTACGGCCCGCGTGGCCTGTCGTGGGCAATTTGGAAGCGGCCCGGGGCAGTCCCGGGGGGTCTGTGACCCCCCAAAGGTTCGGGGGGGCCGCCATGGGAAATGACGACACCGATTTCCCCCCCCCCTCCCCGGCCTACTCGGATATACACACACACATACATATATATATGTGTAAATGAAGACACCATGACTGCAGGATCGGAGATGGAGAAGGGGAAGCTGGGGCGGCGCCGCCAGGGCGTGCCTTAGAGAAGGGGAAGAGGCAGGAGGTGAACGCAGAAGAATCTAAGATCGAAATCGCACTCGAGCGCAAGTGGGGTTGCCACACCTTGCGATGTGTGTACCAGGGCCCCCCAGGAAACCTCAGGAGGCCCGACTTGGGTACCGGAAGAGGCTCCAGGAGGCCCCAGGATTGTGAGTGTTGTGTGTGTGTGATGTGTGCTCTGTGTTCTGCGTGTTTTCTGTGCATTGTAGGTGTTGTGTGTGTGTGTGTTATGTTTGTCTAGCGTGTGATGTGTTGGGTGTAAGTTGTGTCTCTGTGTGTGCATGTAGTTCTGAAGCCCCAGGAGGCCCCAGGAGGCCCCAGGCGGCCTCAGGAGGCCCCAGGAGGCCCCAGGCGTCTCCAGGAGGCCCCAAGAGGCTCCAGGAGACCGCAGGAGGCCCCAGGAGGTTCCAGGAGACCCCCAGGAGGCTCCGAGGCGGGGTCTGGGGTACCAGAAGGTACAGAAAGCCTCAGGAGGCCCCAGGAGGTTCCAGGAGGCTCCCAAGAGGCTCCGAGGCGGGGTCTGGGGTACCAGAAGGTACGTCGGGGCTCGATTTTGGCAGGATGTCTCGGGCGAAATCGCCATTCTCTGATAATCGGGGTCAAAGTCATTGAAATTACATTGTGTTTTTGAAGGTTTTATGTTAGAATGTTGAATTCACATGTGTTTTTGGAACCTGACGTCACGATCTGCGTGAGGGGTGCCACCGATTTTCAGAATGTCGAGGATGTCCCTAGCGAAACGGCCAGAAAAATCGCGGACGCCGCCTTCAATGAATCGGCTCTGAGCTCTACTCCCTCGGAGAGGTGCGTATGAGAATATATATATATATATATATAGGGGTAATCTACACCAACATGTATATACATAGGCACGTGTGCGTATGTGAGATGCACGTACGGATACTGGTATGCATGTGTGCTTGTCTTTGTACACATATGTTTAAGTATCTGGAACAGAACAATATGAATGCTGCGATCCTCCGGGGTCGGCGCAAGCGGGACATCTGGCGCGACTCCCCCCCCCGCACACTTGGGCCTTGCCCTGCAGGATGTGCTGCAGCGGGCCCAGCATCTTGTTGAAGGAGGCGCGGCTCATGGAGAGCACTTTCGCCTGGCCGCCGCTGGAGACCTGGTGCGCGGGGAGGCTCGCCGCGCTGGCACGGCGGTGCGGCAACCCCAGCAGGCCCCGAGGGCCAATGCTGCGACTCGGGGAAGGCACGAAGACTCGAGGATTCGAAGACCGGGTCTGTGGACATCTTCGGGCCTCCTGGAGTTTCCAAAAGCATCCGGGGGCCTTCGGGGACATCTGGCTTGTCGTCGTCGTTGTCGGTGTCGTCGACGATCTCATTCTGCTCCTCCTCCCGCTCCACCCCCTCCTCCTCCTCCTCCTTCCTCCTCCTCCTCCTCCATCTCCTCCTATCTCCCCTTCCTCCCCCTCCTCTTCCTCCTTCCCTCCTCGTCGTCCTCCTCCTGCTCCTCCTCTTCCCCTCCCTCTTGCTAAGAGGGGAGCAAAGCAACTGCAATCGAGCGAGACGGGCCATCCAGCAAAGACGCCTCTTCTTGCGCATTCTCCCTCTTCCATCCTCCCTACTCTTGCCTCCTCACTGCTCCTGTCTCTTCCCATCTCTCGCATCTTCATTCTCATCCTTACCCCTGCCGATCCTCCTCCTACATCTCCTCGTTAGCTTGATCGCTCCTCCTTATCCATCCTCCTGCTCCTCCTCCTTTCCTCCTGCTCTTCCCTCATGCTTCTTATCCGTCCTCCCTCCTCCTCCTTCTCCCCCTCCCTCCTCCTCCTCCTCCTCCTCCAGAGCCAAGAGCAGATGGAAGCAGGCACATCCTGGGCAAGAGGCTCGAGCGAATGAAAGAGGTGAGTGGATGTTGGTTCGTAATCATCGTCCTGCTCAGGTTCTTGATGCTGCTCGAAATTCACCCGCACTTCGTCATGATCGATGTGCAGCCTTCGACGGTTTCCTGCCCGTTCTGCTTCACATGCGAGGTTTCTCCATCATTGTGTGCATCGTGTACGCTCACTCGGGGATCGGTTTCAGTGGAGACAACGTCGCTCGACTCCGTCGCATCGGCAGTTTGCTTGCATCGCTCCAACTACCGTGGATTTGCAATTGGTGATTGGAACATGTCGCCTTGGCAGTTGTGTGCAACGGGGTTCGTGGAAAAAGTTGCAGGCATCATCGTCACCACTGAGGCTGAGTTCACTTGCACGCCAGGAGAAAATCGACCCTCGCTTTTAGATTTCGTTTTGTGTTCTGAGGCTGCGAGGCCTTATATCTTGGGGCTCAGGGCCGTCCTGGATGTTCCCTGGAAACCCCATATCGGTCTCAGCCTCGAACTCGTCTCGGAAGGTAGTCAGTTGTACACTCGGTTTTTGGATTTACCACCCCAGCTCTCCTCGGCGCCCCGCCCAGCTAGGCAGCCTGTGGCAGGATCCAAGTCGAGTAGAGCTGAGGTGGAGCGTAGGTTGGCACGGCAGGTGGCGAAGCAGAAACGTCATGAGAGAATTCGTGAGTGGTTTCCTTTTTGAGAATGTCGGCGGCGTCGATGGGGAGGGGGAGAGTGGCCCGCAAGTTCCCCTCCGCGTAGCCGAGACACGTATCGGCGAGCCGTCCGGAGCCGGCGGGCTCGACTCGGGCGAGGAGGGGGGCCCATGGGCCTTCGAGCCCTGGTTCGGACCGACCCCGCCCCGCCTGATGCCGCTGTTGCTCAGACGCTCTCACAGTCAATGAGTAATTCGGCCCAGCGTGTGAGCCCCCCAGATGGTAGCCCCGCGCAACAGTCTCACGACAAGTCTCACGAGCCATCGCCCAAAGGGTCGGAAGGGGAGTTTGAAAACCTACGTTGATTTTAGAATTGCGGATGCCACTTGAAGTTCGGAGAGGAAAAGCGTCGGCTTCATATCGTCGGGCATGTACCCTCCTGCTGAGGCTGTTGCCCGCTCCGTAGCCCACTCCCTTGGATCAAAACATTGTGATCGTATCAGCAGTCTTTTCAGTGCGTGGATTCGCACAGTTGAGGCCAGTTTCGCATCTCATCATGGCCAGGCCAACCTTGGACGATCTCGCGCAGAGGGACCCAAGTTTCGCACGGGCACTGTCCTGGAGGCCACTCCCTCCAGAATTGACCCTCTGAGGGGTCGCATCAGTGGATGGTGGACAAGAGCCCATGTGGTTCTGGATACATACGCCAAGCATCGTGCCAGAAGCAACGGCACGAAGCAGCAGGAGTTGCTGCTTTCGACGTGCAAGAGTTTGGCCTGGGAGGCTCCAGCCAGAGCAGGGTCACCAGGTCATCAGGCCGAACGATGGCATCTTGTGGGCTTCTTGGTTGCAGCTACTGTCAGCAGTTGACAGTTTGAGTGTGCAGGAGCTTGCGGAAGCAGTCAGGTTCAGTGAACGTATATCCCAGCGGAGTCAGAGGCGGGCAGTTGGCCAGTCTTTGGCAGAGTTTCGGAAATGGACGGGATCTCAGAGTGCAGTGTCCGTGCTTCGCAGGGCGATTCGAGAGGCGCCGCAGGTGCCTCATTCGCTCGTGGAAGGCGACAGGACCTTTCAGCACCCGAGGGACATCGTGGATAGGAAGAGGCAGAGGTTCCAGGAGTTGTGGGCCCCCGAGGGCCAGCAGCTGGAGGGGCCTCAGTCGCTCTTCGCCGACATTCGTGCGCGTGTTGCTGAGGGGCCTCTCCCGCCTTTGTCAGGCGAGCAGCTGCGCGCAGCTGGCAGGAGTATGGAGCAGACGGCAGCCATGGGAGTTGATCGTCTCACGGCGCTGGACACCGATCGGCTCCCCGGCGCGGCATTCGAGGAGCTGGCGGTGGCCCTGGCAGCTTGCGAGGCGTGCCAGGCGTGGCCGCACCAACAGCTGCTGACGATCGGCACGCTGCTGCCGAAGAAGATCTCGGGCGACAGGGTCATCGGCCTGCTGCCCCACATCGCGCGGCTCTGGCCTCAGGCGCGGGAGCCCTGGGTGCGCTCGTGGACCCATGATGGGCCTGTTTTCCACCACCACCACCATAAGTTGGAGGGGGAGGGGGTCCTCTTCCTCCTCCTCCTCCTCTTCCTCCTCCTTCTCCTCCTCTTCGTCCTCCTCCTCCTCGTCCTCCTTCCCCCTCCAACTTATGGTGGTGATGGTGGAAAACAGGCCCATCAACCCAGGACCGCGAGGCGCCGTGGGGCGCCGCGATCCGCGGGCACGCGGCGCTGCGGGAAGCTATCGTCCGCGCGGTGGACGAGGAGCTGGCACAGCTCGCCTGGGCGTGGCCCATGGCCACGGGCTGCTGGACACCGCCAGCTTCTACGACACCATCGGGCGGCTGAGGCCGGGGCAGGCGGCGATGCGGCAGGAGTTCCCCGCCGGGGTGCTGGGGCTGGAGCTGCCGCAGCGCATGGCGGCACGGTGCCTGCGCCAAGCGGGGGCGTACTCCGAGGCCTTCTCCCCGACGAGGTCGGTGGTGCAGGGCTTGCGCTCAGGCACACGTTTCGCCAAAGCGGTGACATGTTTCATAATGCAGAAGATCGCGACTACTCACGTGCACCGTTCACACAGGCTGTGGATCGACGATCTGAGTCAAGTCTCCAAGAGCTCTCGACGTGCTGCACGTGAACGTCTCGTGGCTTGCCTGAAGGAGACCTGCATTGCCATGCAGAACGACGGCCGCACCATCTCCCCCAAGAGCGTGATGGTTTGCACCAAGCTTGCGGGTGCCAAGGAGGTGGTGAAGCGCCGCAAGGTTGCGGGCTTCACGGCGATGGCGGCGGCGCAGACCCCCCATCTCGGCGTCGGCTGTGGCGGGGGAAGACACCATGTCAGAGCGACGCGGACGGCCAGAGTGGCACGCCATCAGAAGATGCACGCGAAGGTAGTGAGGTATGCCCGCACAACTAGAAGATATAGGCTCACATCGAGGTTAGAGCAGCAGGGTGCAGCTGCTGCGGGCGCCTACGCCCATCAGGTACACGGATCGCTTGGTCACCGAATGAGACAGATGCGGATGTTCCTGTGCGACGCGCCCAGTCCTCGACTCACGGGGCGATGCGTTACGACGCTGTTGGATTTGCGCGCCCCAGGGCGCGACCCAGCTTGTCGTTTGCCGAAGGAATGTTTGCAGATGTGGATTCGTACGTGGATCTCGCAGCCAGCCCTCAGGAGCGGGATCTACAAGACTTGGCGGCAGCTTGCTCGAGTGTTTCGGTCCATGGCTCCTCAGTTGCGCAGTCGACAAGTACGGGGGCCGCAAGCTGCAGTCATTACACATTTACTTCAAGAGGGATGGGGGCCTGAAGGCCCAGCAGACTGGAGGGTTCAGGACGACGGTTCTGGCACGCAGCACAGTTGGCAATTCGATCCAGCAGCCCTGACGGGCTTTGAGAAGGTTGACGTTCCGAGGGCCTTCCTGCAGGAGTACGAGGCAGCGGTGATGCAGCGGCTGTGGCGCCAGGCAGCTACGCACTTCGACGGTGTGGGCATGGAGGGAAGCATCTGCAACCTCTCCCTTCGCGCGCTCCTCCGACAGCTCGAGGAAGGGCCCAACGGCAAGCAGCTGGCGGGCAGATAAATCCAAGGGGCCGATATCCCAGATATGTGCCAAATGTGGGGTTGAGAAGGAAACGTCTTTCCATCGTACCTGGGGCTGTTCGAAATGCGCTGACCACGACATTTTTAAGATGTCGGATGAGTACGCCCCGCGTGCCCACACACAGCATGAGGCAGAACCATGTTTTTGGCATCGTGGCCTCCTGCCGCAGGCCTGGGTGTCCGTCCCGCCTCCGCAAGAGGAGGTCGAGTGGTGGAGCGTAGGCATCGGAGCGTTTGAAGATAACTGCTTCGGCATGGGCTCTGAGTTGGACCCTGTGTGCCTCTTCGGGGACGCGAGCGGGGGCGAAGATACTTCCGATCCTCGCCTTCGGAGAGTAGGCTGCGGTTTGGCACAATATACAGACTTTCCTGATAATATGCAGTTAGCTGTTGCCGTGTGGGGGGGGGGCCTCCCAGGACCCGTCCAAACAGTTGCCAGGGGTAAACTTTTCAGTTTCCTCACAGCACTCTTAGGTGCTGATGGAGTGGTGATTTACCACAGACAATGCCAGCGTCTGCTCTGGTTGGTATTGTGGCCGA